AAGGTATATTCCTTAATCAAGGGATATTGGAGTCGCCTCAACCCTAACCCTAATAAGACCCCGTAAAGGAACCCTAGGTAGATCCTTTTAAAGGAACCCTAGGAGATCCTAGGAGTCTCTGAGTAAGCTGTGGCTCCGGACTCTCACGGCCACAAGGCCAAGAACGAGGGAGGCACCTAGGCTTACGGGTCCGGGTTTAGGGTTTTTAGGATTTAGGGGTCAAGGATAACATTGAGGGACTATATGGGGATTATTAGTTGCAGAGGCGCTATGTCGTACTCCAGGGGGGTCAGATGTTACTCGCTTGACTACTATGTATAGGACTTTGAGAAGAAGACATTCCGTCAAGATCTAGCGGTCCTTGGAAACGGCTTACTGGCTTGTTACCTCAAACAATCTCAAGGACGTATTGAGAATGGATTTCAAACAAAGCTTTCAAGAACAGACTAGATTGAAGGCCTATGTCATAGGCTAAGAGGCAGTGAGGTGTCTGCCTTCAGGGATCTAGGTTTAGGTTGCAATGCTCCTCCAGCAAGACGTGTTTCGGAGCTCTCCTCACAGCCCATGTTGCATAATGAGACTACCACAAAAGCCCATCGTCACAGACTTCTGTCCACGCACACCCCAATTCAATATACTAACTCCATATGCTGTTGAAACAAAAGGCCACTGAAAGTTGGTTTTGGTAGTTCGAGGGTTTTCGAACCTATGAATCACCAGCCCAGGAGTGCTACAAAGAATTCAGGCTTCTGTGTGACCCTAGAAGTTGAGGTATCCAACCCCCAGGCTGTGAAGTGCTACAGTGCAAGCTTGAAGTCCCTGAGGTCATCATGGGCTTTTGGTCTGGGTGACAGGGCTTGAGAGTTGAGGAGTTTGATATACATCTCGACAAGCCCTGGCTGCACCATGTGCATGGCTTGCTCGCAACAGCCTAATAAAGGCTTCGCAGCTCCTTACAGCAACGTGCCCCTGAACCATAAACCGCCTTAAGGGCCTCCTTTCCCAGGGTTGCACAAGCAGCTGAGAGATCCCCTTAGGGGTTTAGGGTTTTGGGTATTTTGGGCTTAGCAGCCGCCTTGGCCAACACTTCGCAGCATCTGACAGCTGCGTGCCCCTAAACCATAAAGTCGCCGTGGCACCATGCGCTAGGGCTCTAAGGACTCATATGTTAAGGCTTTTGGGCCGAAAGACCATAATATGTGAGGCTTTTGGGGAATTTTGAGCCCCAGGGATACGTATTGCAATGAAGCAAAAAAATATCGCTGGAACAAACACGCCAAACGCATTCCAGAGGCAAAACAACGAGAAAGCCTGGAACCCCAAGCTACGGCCCAGAACTCTCAAAACCACACCCCCTCAATCCCAAGACCCCGGTACTGGGGGTCCAGCAGCCTGCCAAGTAGGCGACGACCAAGTCCTGCATCGGAAGCCACTTCTTGGAAGGGCATTCTGGTGTTTTGCTTGCAAATCTGTGGAAGCTACTCTAAGGAATCAAATATTTAAGCAGATTTTGGGTGGGATATTACAACAGATTCTAACACTGTAGTAGGGAACCCAGAAGGAACAATATCGGTAATTACTGACTCACGCTCCCATATTGTGCGATCTGTGGTCTTGAGCTCGGGGGCTTTAGGGACTGATTCTGGGCTGCAGGATGTTGGTGGTCCGTGTCGGGTGTATGAGCGGGAGACGTGTTGAGAGCACTGTCCCATGACGAGGGCTTGGGGGCAATCTGCCACGAGCCCCGGCCTTGAACCTCTGCCAGATGCTTTCGAATTCTGAAAAGTGCAGGAGAAGTGGAGGCGGTCGGGGGCACAGCGGCTGCTGTGAGGATGCAACTAGCCGAGACAGCACCTAAACATAAACTTTTCAAGGACATACATACCCATTCAGTCTCAAGGGGTTTTGAAGATGATATCCGATTCCGGGTCGATGCTTTGGGTTTCAGGGCTTAGGGCCTAAAGCGTCTGCTTGAATTCATTGTGTGGCCCGACAAATGTCAGCAAAAGAACCCCTCCATCCCTGCACGACACCCTGAAGCTGAACCCTAAATCCGCCTAAACACAAAGAGCCTTGTTGAACCCATACTTATCTATCTGTCTAACTATGTGTATATATCTATATATCTGTATATGTATATATGTGTATATAAATATATATAATGTGTATCTATATGTACAAGAGCGTAGTAAATCATACTCAACCCCAAATCTCCTATGACCCCAAGGACTCGACACCGCACAGCTCCTGGAATCTGAGCTGCGAGACATCTTCCCTGTGGGAAGGCTGAGTTCAGGATTTGGGAGTTTCGGGGCAGAGGATTTAGCACTTCAGGGTTGACGGTTCAGGGGTTTCGGGTTGAGGGTTTTGGGCTTTAGGGCTTTACGCCATGACGCTTTCGGGCTTAGCACGTGGGTGGTTTGAGGTCTAGGTTGGCTTCAGTCTTCAGGCTTCATACGCCTCTAACTCTTAGCTCCAATGCTTTAGGTTGTAGGTCTAAAACCATATTGTGAAGGTCCATGCAGTGCTTCGCGATTTAAGCTCTTGCGTTGTCGGTTCGAGCAGGCAGAGCTGAAAAAGAAAGTAACCTTCATTGATGTGACAGTCTGCATAGCTCCGCAAACCCGAAACTCTGTCTGGAAGTTGGGCCATTCCGGGTGCAATAGCAACACTCATAATAGTGATACTTATCCTGACAATCATACAGGTAACCATAGCAGTATAGTGATAAAACAGAAATAGACACGATAATGACAATAAGACTAAACATAGTATGAACTATCACGATCTTAGTAGTATTAAAACAACGATAAAACACGCTAACTGTGATCTAAGGGCCCTCGAGGGCTTCTAAATCTCCGAGACCACAAACGCTACAGCCCCGGCACCTGAAACATCCTGAAACCTTAAACTTCTGAAGCCCGGTTACCAATGTCTTGGTAAGGTTTCGGCCCCTTCGTAATCATAGTAGAAGCGCGATCTACCATCGTCTTGGTAATGTTTCTATCCCTTTGTAAACATGGTCTTCCTGCAGTGGATCCGTATGCAGTTACTTTAACTGGGCTTCTGAGAAAAACTTCCCAGAGGCCTTAGCTGCCTTAGCTTTGGCTTTTGCCTCTTCTGATGGGTTTGGCCTCAACACGGTTTAGGGTTTACTTGAAGGCTCATGGGACTTAGTAAGTAAGGTTATAAGTAGGTTATAATTATGGTAATCCCACTTAGGGGACTTATAACCCCAATTATAACCTACTTACTAAGTCCCATGATCCTTTAAGTAGGGTTTAGGGGCTTTCTACTTTCTGGCTCCGCGGCCGGGGTCGCGCCCACACTCGCCCCACCCGGGAACATCTCCGAAACACTCTACCCTAAACCTATTGTACTATATACGAATAGTATTATTAGTACAGAATATGAGTATTATTAGGGGTCTATTAGGGGTTTAGGGTTTAGAGTTTGATATCGACGAAGCCCGGCCGAGGAAGGACCGAAATAAGTACCTGAAACCTTGTAATTACTTGAAGGTTCGTGGGTAGTTCTAAGTGGAGTTGTAAGTCCCCTAATATGGGTTATAACTATAGTTACCCTACTTATAACCCCACTTATAACACCCGACTGACAGGCCACTTGTGCCCTGATAGCACCTTCAAAGGAGCCCTCATTGAACTCTCGAAGGATTCCTGCAACACGAAACCTCCCACAGCCCTAGAGCCCTTTCCGATCCAAACAGAGAACCCATGCCAAAACCATGCAGAAACCCAACAAGCGTCAACCAGTCCTCTACAAAATTACAAAAAAACCTCACAAATCTTTGACACCCTCAACCACTTCGAAAAAAAGCCGGCCATGTTGCCCATCCAGCAACCCTTAAAGGAACCCTTAAAGGGACCCTTCAACGAACCCTCTGGGACCTTTGAAAGAGCCCTTTCGAGCGGATTCTGCCCAGCCGACCTCTGCTGCTTCAGCTCCTCGTATCGCCCCAAGAGAGACTCAAGGACCTGCTAGGGTTTGGGGGTTTAGGGGTTTGGGGGTTTAGGGGTTTCGGGGTCTAGGGGGTTTGGGGGTTTAGGGGTTTGGGGGTTTGGGGGTTTGGGGGTTTAGGGGTTTAGGGGTAGTTAGGCCCAACCCAGCAGCTGAGCTCATGTCGGTTCTGCTTGTTGTCTTCTATTGTAACTGAAGGTTCTACGGTTGATGACATTATACATCCTGCGTTACCGTAAGGACTCTAAACTATTGGAATTATGGTATATTCCTTATTATGGGTATTATGGGTAATGCAGGATTTATATCATCAAACGTATAGGTCTAGGTAGGAGGTGTTAACGGATTCGGAGCCCAGGGCTTAGCATTGTCATACGGCTTTACATGCGTGTGGTGGGAATTTTGCTGGCTTGGGGTTGAGGTCTGTTCCGGTTTAGGATCTATATGGGAGTTTCCGAAAATAGGGGACCCTAAAATAGTACCCTCAATAGCAGGATCCTTAGTATAAGGACCCCAAAGTAAGGTACCCCCCAATTTCCGGAAACTCCCATAATAATCCCCATTATAGCACCCTGATAGATCCCTTTAAGGACCCCTTTAAGGCACCCCCAATTTTCGGAAACTACCATAATAATCTGTGAATGCTGAGGGCTCTTGCATGTGTGCGAAGGCTTGTATGCTTCCGCAGCTGATGTCTGCCAAGATCGGCAGAAGCCTTGAGATACAGTTTGCCACGATCGGCAGAAGCTCAGGAGATAGTGTGCCATAATCGGCAGAAGCTCATGAGATAGTTTGCCATGATCAACAGAAGCAACTGTCAGTGCCTTGTGTGTAAAAGCCTGTAGCTCCGCTTGCGAGGGTTCATGGTTGTCCGTTGCTGCATCCCTGCCTAGACTCTTTGTCTTCAGGGTATGAGCCCAAAGCCGCTAGCGCATCTTCTCGAAGGAGAGCAGCAAGGACCAGCCTATGGATCTCTGGCGAACGGTCAAATTCGAACAGATGAGGGAGTGACTCAGGCGTCGATGGAAGCCCAAGCTCAGCTGGATGGCGAACCGCCCTCTGGAAACGATCAGGACGTCGCTGATGGCGCCTTGCCGTCAGGTGCTGCTGGCTCCCAAGGACTGAATGAGCAGTCGACCATGCCAGCAAGTTTGTCGGCAGCAACACCACCTCCTAGACCTCGTCTACCAGACCCTGTTGATGCAACCTTACCTGTTGGTAGTGTACCAATGGCTATGGAACAACCTATGACTTCGCAAGCAACCGTCACGGATCATATGCATCAGCAGGTGTACGAGGGTGGAATCACCTTTTCTCCTCCTGAGGAGCTTCCAGAGCGTGAAGATGCTCGAGCAGGACCTGTGGGAGGCCAAGCAAGGTGGTTTATGAGGGTGGGAGAGTATTTACAGCGTCGAGTTAGCCAAGCAGGATCTATGATGTCGCCAATCCTGGAGACCGCTCCAAGAACCCCTACGGCAACTCAGCAGCATGTGAGTACTCCTACGAGGCAGACAATGACTCCTCCCCAACCTCGGTTGTTCACGGCGGCAGCAGGACAGCGCATGAAGCAGTGGGTGAAACAAGCTCCTCTTCTATATGGACAACAAAGTCAAGGGAGCGGTTCGTCACCTGAGTCGCTAACTCAAGAACAAGTTGTTGCAGAAGTTCAGAAGCGTGTGAGAATGGAGATGCAGCAACACAACGACAGACAGGTTGCCTTGGAAACTGAGAACCATCAGCTTCGGGAGTTGCTCGAGGCAGTGATTGGGCAAGTTTCGCGCGAGACCGGAAGTCAAGGAGCAGGTGCCTTCGAAAGGGCCTTGAGACCTCAGGGAGCTGCCACGTCCTCTTGTGAGGCACGGCAGGAAGGAATCTCAAGGGCCCCGGGGCCCAACCAAGAGCGAGGTCTTGGAATTCCTCCTGGACTACTCCAAGGTTCTGTAGCGCAGGAAGAGGATCATTCTGGATTACGACGGGTTCCGGGACATCCTCTTTTACAAGGCCTAAAAGGGCGAGTAGGTGATCTTGATGGTCATAAAGCCGGTGATAGAAGAGTTGCAGGACATCCACCTGGACCAGAGGGCCAAGGAGTTCCTTCTGGATCTGGCTACGGTGGAGCGACGACAGCTCCGGCACGATCTTCAGGACCAGCTCCCGCGACGGGAGCCAGCGGCACTGGATCCCAAGCTTTGGATCCAATGGAAGTGCTCATGAAGAGCATGACGCAGCTCCAGCAGGCTTACCTTGGTCGGCCTGAGGGAGATGTGAAGAGTTCTGTGGACCTACCCATGATGCCGGCGGTGGGCCAGGACTCGGCGGTGGAGTTTGCGGACTGGGTTTATGAGGCGGAGCAGATTATAGGGAGTCTTTCGGACAAAGCCTCCTTGTGGTTTTCTGCGTGTTTGGAGGTGGCAAGGACGACTTACGACCAGTATAATGCCGCTTCCCCACTTCAGAGACTCAGTTTGATGCCGGTGATACCAGAGGAGCTCCGAGATCCTCGTTGGTCTCGGTTGGAGCGAAAGGTGATGACGCTCCTCTTGGGTGCGCTACAGAAGACGGCGAAGGAAGAGGTGATCACGCACAGGATTTCGACGGTGGCTGAGCTCCTCTTCCGGATGTACGTGTTGTACCAGCCAGGCGGGACAGCAGAGAGGAGCACGATCTTAAAGCACTTGGAAGGACAGACCGGGACCGAGGACGTGCATGCATGTATTGCTCAGCTGAGGAGATGGAGAAGATATCTTCAGAGAGCCGAGGACATTGGCATTGCTATCCCGGACGCTTCAGTACTACTGAAGGGCGTTGAAAGGCTGACCACCAAGGTGCTCGATGCCAATGCTGATGTGAAGTTCAGGGTGGCATTGACTAAAAATGAGCTGCAGCTGCACAGCCGCCCGGACCATAATGGAGTGCTCCGCTACCACAATGCAATCCTTGCGGAACTTCAGACTATGGCTCCAACGAGAACATCCCCTACGGCACCCTCAGGTGGGACGGAGGCTGCCAAGCTGAAAAACATCAATGCGGCCGGGGATGCAGCTGGAGGTCTTTCTCCGCCGTCGCCCCAGCCAAAGACGAGGGCCACGACTCCTAGCCGGTTCTTCTTGACGGATGCCGGGTGTACCCGGGGCTCATCATGTACTTTCTCCCACAACTTCAACAAGAAGGAGAAGGCTGGAAGATGCTGGACGTGTGGCAGCAACCAACATCAGCAGTCTGCGTGTCCAGTATAAAAAGGAATCCTTCCAGCCCTTCAGCAAAGGGCGCCGGGAAACAAGGCTCACAGAAGGGACCAGCGGTGGCACAACTTGCGGCTTCAACGGCAACGACTCCTACTACAACCTTGGAACAACCTCAGCCCCTTCAGCCCCTTCAGCCTCAGGTGACTCCTACGCCGACCTCATCTTCTACTACCCAACCCTCGGGAGCAACTTCGTCGCCTCCGGTGTCACCTGAAGGCGAGATGAAGCAGCTTTTGGAGCAGGCAAATGCAATGCTGAGGGAGATGAGGCAGTTGAGGTCAGTGTCGTTGTCAACTACTCAGGTTGAGAATGCCACGGTGGCTCACAAATGCCACCCCCAGACTGGAAGGACAGGTCTGTTGGACTCGGGGGCTTCACATGCGTTCCGAACTGGGACCGACGAGGAGCTGCGCCAGGCTGACCGGGTCACGGTGCAATTGGCAACGGGCTCTGAAGTGACACTGGCTCAAAACAAGGGCGGTACCCTACTGTCGGTTCCGGCAAAGGGAAACGAGGATGTCTCCCCGATAGTTCCGCTTGGGTCTCTTGTGCAAGATCTCGGGTGTGACCTTCAGTGGACGAGACGGAGAGGCCTTGAAATACGACATCCTCAGTTTGGGTTGATCCGACCGCAGGTGGTGGGAAGCTGCCCTTTGATCGGAGAGGCTTGTGCTTTGGTCTTGATACGCGAGCTTGAAGAGCACAAAGTCAGGAACCTCAGGGAGTCCGTTCGTAACACCCAGAAGAGCTTGTGGATGTGGAACCAGGAGAAACCCTGGGCTAGGCATTTGGAGGAGTTCCTTGGGAGCGGGCGCAGGGCAGATCAGCTCAGCGCATTGTCGTCGGAGGACTCCCCTTTTGCGAGTCTGACTGAGGCTGAAAGGAGCGCGTTGGCGGAGCAAGTCGAGCTCACGGACAAAGCGGGTTGGAACTACCTCAAGGCGATCCCATGTTCCAGGCAAAGGCGAAAGCGAATGATGACGATGCCGTGGATTCTACATTTGTACGCTGGAGACGGACGAGGAGCGGATCCAGTGTTCAAGGTCCTTGAGGATTCCCGGGTTGTTGTTGAGGTCGACATTGCAAAGTCCTTGGCCTACGACTTGTTCAAGGTTTCCGGAGTGTACCGATGTTTGCTTTGGGCGGCAGCTACGGGAAGATTGGATGGTATCCTTGGAGCACCGCCCGCAAGGACCGAGGCCGATGCGCAGTTGTTGTTGAAGCAGCTATGGTTGTTCACCGTCGCCAAGGCTGCTAGGGCATCTTCGTCTGGAGCCCCAGTGTTCATGGTGCTGGAAGGTAGCAGAGTTCAGAAGGTGATCAAGGCTACTGAGTTTTCGAGATGGCCTACGGTGAGGGCGTCTTGGGGCACGGTGTTGGACCAGTTGTGCTTGGAAGAGATCGATTCGAACTTGGTGACGAATATGGTCATACCGGAGCCGTATCCGGATACTGGGGATTCTTCTACAAAGTGGACTAAGGAGTTCAAGGAGGTGCTTGTGAAGGCCATGGAGCTCTGGTGGAAGGCCCCCGAAGGCCTACAAGTTGCGCGATGGATGAAACGGCTAGATGCAGACCCTAAGAAGTTCTTAGAGGGACTTTCGAATGAGGAGCTGCAGCGATGGAAAACCCACGTCGTCAACAACCACCAGCCCTACGACCGAAGGTGCAAGACTTGCGTAACGGCTAAAGGCACGGGTCGTCTTCACAAGCGCATTCGGCATCCTGATGTTCATTGTCTGAGTTTGGATGTAGTGGGTCCGTTCAGAACCAAGTCGGTCGACCCCAACCACAACGACTATCGGTACTTCTTGGTTGGAGCATATACCATGCCTGAACCGGAGGAAGACTTCAAAGCAGATGGTCCTCCAGATGAACCGTGTGAAGGCCCCAAACCAGATGGTCCTCCAGATGAACCGGGTGAAGACCCCAAACCAGATGGTCCTCCAGATGAGCCGCGTGAAGACCCCAAACCAGATGGTCCTTCAGATGATGATGGTGGTGGTGTCGGCCCAGTAGATTGCGGAGATGATGGAGCAGAATCAGTGGGATGATTTAGATGATGATTGGGCAAGGCGAGAATCTGTTCCTAGAGGTGATCCCGATCTCAAGGGTTTAACGGAGGAAGAGTTTGCGAAGATCTTCTCTGAGGTGGGGAAACCTAGAAGTGTGCGAACGCTTTACTATGCTCTGCCGTTGAGGAGGAGAACGTCTGCGCAAGTCTTGGCTACGGTGCAGAGCATGGTGCTCCGCATCAAAAGTCAAGGCCTACCTATCCAAAGGGTTCACTCTGATCGTGCCCGTGAACTTCGAACCGAACCGTTGAAGCGTTGGCTGCTACAACATGGGGCTCTGGCAACTTATACAGAGGGTCAACGACCTCAACAAAATGGAAGAGCAGAGGCAGCGGTGAAGCAGTTGAAGAACGATGTTCGACTGTTGCTATCCTCGACAGGACTTCCGAGGTCATGTTGGTCTACAGCAGGAGTTTATGCAGCAGCAGCTCAGCGTGCTCGAGTGCTTGGAGTTGATGCTCCACCGTTACCGTACGGAGCCAAGATTCATTTGCGTTCCAAGACCTACGGGAAGAACCAAGACCCAGGGAGCTGGGACTTGAGATGGAGGTCGGGTTTCTACATGGGACCGTCGTTGGATGTTCAAGGGGGACATGTGGTACGTTTTGAAGACGGGACCTACACGACGACCAAGCATGTGAGACCTGGTCTCATCGACTCTGATCGCATTGTGGACCTTGGAATGTACGAAGCGGTGATCCCTGTCCCGGCTCGGCGGTACAGGAGAAAAACAACCTTGGACGAGGAGCCAGTGGATCCTGAGGAGGAGATGGTTGGCCCCTACGATCCAAATCACCCCGCCGAGCACTATGCCATGGGTCTACTAGATGAAGACGTCTTGGTTCCAGATCAGCTTGAGACGCTGGTCCACTTGCTTCCAACCACTGCGCCAGTCCCTCGTCGTTTTGGGGAACAGAATGAAGAGAAGAAGTTATGGACAGCTGGTGCATTTGTTCATGGGGGAGTTCTGGGAGTCAAGAGAGCTACAACAACGTTTCCCATGTCTACAAGAGTGTTCACGAAGTACATTAAGCAAATTGCCCCGGGCTTTGCTTTCAATGCGGTTGCGGTGAATGTGGACATCCTGACCCAGGAGCACAAGGATGTTCATAATGTGGGGAAGAGTATGATCACGGCTATTTCTTCCTTTTCGGGCGGTGAAATTGTGACGGAAGGCGACGAAGGTGAGGTGACCGTGCCGCTCACACATGGTCCGACCTACTTCGAGCCCCACAAGAAGCACCGAACAAGCCCTTGGAAGGACGGCCAGAGAATGGTGTTGGTAGGCTACTCCATCAGGGACAGTGGGAGGCTATCTGACGAACATGTTGCCATGTTACGACACTATGGGTTTGAATGGGAACCTCACTTTCGGGCAGTTGAACCTGCGGCAGGGGCGTCTTTGAAGGCCATCAAGGTGAAGCTTATAGACGCGGAATCCCCAAAGGATTCAGAACGTGATCTACCACAAGCCCCGAAGGATTCAGAACGTTCCCTCTGAGGCGAGAGATTTCCCCAGAAGTTCAGCATGGCCCTGAGGAAGTGATGGATCCCATTACGCCTACGCTGAGGAGGAGAACTTTGGAGCAGCCTAGAGTTCAGTACTCACCAGGAGCAAGCAGTCAGGCACCATCTACTCCCAACGTTTTGGATGAAGATGTCAGTGAACGTGCGAGGGTGTCTCGCGATCTTTTGGCCCTCCTTACCGTCGAGGAGCTGAAGGTAGGTTTGCGCTACGGGGCGCAGAAGCACACCTCCGAGTGGTGCGCCTGGGCCACTGTTTCCCGACAGTGGTGCAAAGTGCTGAAGTGCCTCGATATAGCGCCGCTGGCCTGGAGGGGGATTCAGGTCGGTGGCCCTTCGCCTTCTATGCACACTTATATTTCTATTTGCTCGTCATCCTCATTGGAGGCCTTGAACCATTTCAAGTTCTCTGTCGTGCGCAAGCCTGGATGTGGGATCCTGGGCCTTACTATGAACGCGATACACTAGTGGCTCTGGTGTATCTGGCAGTCGTTGCAAGCTTATTACTTCACTTTGCAGAGGTGTCGGTCGAGGACACAGGCGTGCCTTCCTTTCCTCGGCCCCTTCGGCGCATGAACCCCAGGAGAAAGCGACGTTTGCTTCAGGGAATTTCGATTTGGGGTCCGGGAAGGTCTCCTCCGCGCCCGAATGGTTTGAAGATGTGTCTGCGCGAGCTGAGCACTTTCTTGGCATTTGAAGCTCACTGGATTGGAAGGCGACGGCGTCGATGGGGACGCTCGAGTCGCTGGAAGATGCAGGCTGGTGGTTGGTATCGAGTTCGATTTCTTCTTCGATGGCGTGCACTTCGCCGACACCGCCCCGCAGGTGATGGGGGTGCGCAGGTTCCAACATTGCCCCCGGATGGTGATTCTTGCAGAGGCGGCACTCCGCTCGGACGTGGCAAGCTTCTTGAAATTGATCGCATGGCTGGTGGTGGTGATGCCTTCCTTGATGGCCTTATGCACTTTTGCGCTACGTTTCGTGCGCAACATGACGGTGATCGTGAGCTGACAAGGCAAGTCAAAGCAGTCGAGCAGATCGTTGCACGGGCTCAAAAGCAGCCTGGTTATGACTTCCTGGATGGGTTGCAGGCCTTTATCGAGAAGGAGCGCAAGAACAAGGCTGGACAGCGTGGCGAGCCAATGTCTCGGGCACAGGTGCGCACAGTCCAAATGTTGTCAGATGCTGAGGAACGCCCCCGCCAGCGCCAGTGGCCCAATAGCGGACACGATAATGGCTGGACAAAAAACCGTGGAGCAAACTGGTGGCCCCGTCAAGGAGCTGGACGACCAGATGTGTCTGAAGGTTCATGGACATCGTTGACGTGGAAACCTCGTGTTGGAGATTGGGAGTCAGCACAGTCCACCAACATCCATGTCATTGAAGGTTCAGTTGCTTTTGCCAAGGCCTTAGATGACCACAAGGACGAGCCTTTCCTTGTCATTGCAACTGATGCCGAGGACTTTGATGTGTGTGTTGGCATGGCTGAGGGTGAGCGTAATGCCATGGCAACGATTCTCCTGCCATGTGCAGCACACTGGCCTGAGGAACGAAGTAAGCCTGCAACCGTGAGAGTTCCTGGCATGTTAAACAGGGCGCTGCAAATGCGCCTCTGCTTCTGTAAGTCCTTCTGTGAAGGGGCCCCACAGCTGAGCACTAAGAAAGTCATCAAGCCTGCTAAGGTCCAGGCTTTCAAGCCTGATGCTACCCGCCGTGATGGCTTCGTTTTGCGATTCATTTGTCCATGGGTCTATCAGCAGTCTGGGGATCAAGATTGGAAGCGCATGATTGCCAATCCCGGGGCTGCTGCTCGCACCTGGGCTTCTCAGTTGAGTAACCTGGGCACTTGTTTGGGGGATTCCTTTCGGTTTGAGATTAGAGATGAAAACTCGCGTCATGCCCAGCTTCGCGGCCTGCTCCGCGTTCACACAGCTGAAGCGGCACTTAAGTTGCTCCAGCTGAGTGGCTCGTTGGATGACAAGGGAAGGCGATGGTTTACTGAGCCAGTGCATGGAGATTTAGGCGATAAGGTACCTGCGGCCGTCTTGTGGATTGACTGGCAAGACGGGGAAAGGTGGCAAGCTTACGCTTCTAGGGTTGCCCGTCTTGGTGACACAGGGCTCGTGCTTGGACGTATGCAGCTAGGTACGCGGGTGCACGCCAATGATCGGCGCCTGAAGGACCGACCATCCACTTGGCGAGTCACAAACACTCCTCACATGTGGACGGGGGATATGGTTTGTGACGTTCTGCAAACCTTGGGATTCCGTGACGTCGAAGTTCTGCAAAAGTTGCATCGTGGAGCAACGGCGCATTGGGTCATCAAAGGCATTCCTCCTTCTTTGACGGAGCTATATCAGCCCACTGTGGCGGATGGGGCAGGTAAAGAACATGAATTGGTGGTTATCAAAGAAGCCCGACGTCGACGCCAGGACAACAATGGTCATGGCTTGCGATCGGAACATGCCGTGTCATACACTCCTGTGGTTAAGCCACTGCGCAAGGACAAGCGCGGATCACAGGTGAGACAGGCCGACGGACAAGGTGATGCACCGATGACGGGTCAAGATGGCGCCAATGCCGCGGAAGCTGCCAAGAAAGCCAAAACACAGAGCGCACCCCCACAGTCCAAAGTCAAATCACCATGGCTACCTGAAGGAGCCCAGCGCGTTCAAAACACGGGCAAAGGAGATTGCTTATTCCTGGCCATTGCCGATGCATTGAAAGTTCTTGATCCGAGCAAGAATGCGAGTGGCCGGTCACTCAGGGCATTTATTGTCGCTTGGTACACGCGCCATTTGGAGGAATACCAAAGCCTCTGGGACGGCCTCAAAGCCGGCGTTGTATCGCGTGAGGCCAACGGGAACTGGAATGGCAGTTTCGAGGATTATATCGCGGATATCAAAATGGCTGGCGTTTGGGGCTGCTACTTGGAGTTAGCTGCTATGGCCCATGCTCTCCAACGCAATGTGTTGGTCTTAGACAATTTGGGTTAGGTCACTTTGTTTGAGCATGGCGGTACAGAGAAGGCCATTTGTCTGTATTTCGATCGCGAGGTGCAGCATTATGAGTACTTGGCCGGTGACATCCAGGATCAACTTGCTTTCTGGGCCACGGCCCATGCTGGCGGTCGGGATGCATCTCGAGATTCTGGTGGAGGGAGAGGTATGAAGTCCACGCGAACTGAAGGCCCTCTCAAGCTCGAAGATTTTGCATCGCAAGCCTCCGGATCTACAGTGACCAGACGCGGCCCGCGACTTGTTGAATTTGCATCGCATGCTGGGTCATCTGCCATCCGTTCAGGATCAAAAGCCTTCATTCAGGAGGATCTCCAGAAGTATTATGACACGATCCATTTCCCCTTGGCGGCGCTTGTGCTGGAAAGACTGGGCATGCCTGTGCAGGTGGTCGCTCTCCTCAAGAGCTTCTATTCGCGCCAGTTTCGGCTCCTCTCCTTTCGAGGGCAGTGTTCATCACAGTGGATATTGGCCACGCGAGGACTGGTACAAGGCTGCCCGATGTCTCCCGTGATTGCCGCTGCGATCATGCACATTTGGCAGCTCACGGTCTCGTCCGCGCGAGTTTCCTCGTTGGCTTACCAAGATGACCGAACCCTTATCCTGAAACCTGACGTTTCGCAAATGCGGGGTACTGTTATGGACTTGCAGCCCCTTGCGGATGCCTGTCAGCGGTCCAGGGCTTTTGATGCGGCCTTTGAATTTAGCTGTGACTCGACTAAATCGGCTGTGATCGGGGACGATCGATGTCAGGGTCTTGCTGATAACTTGGGGTATCCCAGAGAGGAGAATCTGTCTCTGCTTGGGGTTTGTCATCCTTTGAATCCTCGTGCACCGCGGCGGCTTCTACACTTCACGGTTGACAAACTCAAGGCTCGGATGAAATTCATCCCTGCCGCAGTGGTGCATCCGCGTTTGGTGATCCTCCACCTGCGATCGCTGTGTTACTCCCATAGTTCACCTGGGCTGCAGGCTTTGCAAGGCCATCTGCTGACGAGCTGGCTAGCGTAACTAGTGGTGTGAAGGCTTCCTTTGGCAAAAATCTCACATTCGAGGCTCCGCCGTGCTTAGTCCATGAAGAATGTGGTTGGTTGACCGAGCCGAGCTTCTGTGCTGATTGGGCTCTGCTCCAACAGGCGCATCGTCTTCATTGCAGCCCTCCACCGTGGTTGGAGCTCCTGCCGCTGTCTGAGGCATGCGCCCCCTGGTTCCGTGTTCTGCCGCTGGCTACCAAGGTTCTGCAACGCCTGGGTTGGACTGTCTCGGGGAATGGTGGTGTCATTTATCGCAGGGATAATGCCCTCAGAATGCGAGAATACCGCATGGGCTTCGATAGCCTGCAGGTCTTGAAGGAATGGCTCCTCTTGCATTATCGTCGCAGATATCTTTCGCGCTGTGGTCGGGTCGTTAAGTCTTTGCACCGTCAAGGGCCGAACCTAGCTCAGGGGGCTGATCTGCCTGCGCCTGCAGCTGGTGCCTTTATTCGAGCGGCTGGTCATGTTGCAACTTGGTCCAAAAACCCACCCGTACCCCTCAAGCGGGCGGCCTTGGCTACCGGTGGATCGGTCTGGCACTTCGGCCCGCGCTTCGGGCCTTGGGCAGCTCAGCAGCCTCCGCAATGTTTGTGCGGTCTGAACAAACCCAGTCGAGTGCACTTGACCTTTCATTGTCCAGTTACGCGTGATTTGAGGGATGGTATGCTTGCTCCGGCTACTAGAATCCAGGAGCGCTTGTTCGCGATGGAGGGCGAAGAGATCCCACCTGCTCCTGCCACGCCTGACATGTCCGCACTTGTTGCTGAGTGGTGTACGGCGCTCCCTGTTCTTACAGGATCGATAGTAGCTGCCACTGATGGTGGTGCCAAGGACTTGGTTGCTGCCTCGGGGATCTTCCTGCCCCAGCTCAGTTTCATAAAAGCATGTGCTGTCCCTGGCGAAGACCAGTCCAATTATAAAGCTGAGATCTTTGCGCTGTGGCTCCTCTTGAGTCTGCTTGTGTCTGCCCGACGTCGCCGATTAGTGGCTATACATGTTCTTGTTGATTGCGAGGCCGCCATCCTTGCTGTGGAGGGCCAGGGCAATGAGCTTCCGTGTCTCATTCGCTGCATTCGTTCCCTCCGCAGATGTTTGCAACAGGATGGTACTGACGTTCACTTGCATTGGGTTCCGAGCCATGGTAAGCGACCCCGTCGATGGCGTCCATGGTCTGATCTTGCTCCAGCGATCCAGCAGCAGTATAACGACACCATCGATGCTGCGGTCACCGAGTGTCTTGCTCAACGTCTTCAAGGTTCCTTGAGGTCATCTTTTCTGAGGCGCGCTGAGGCTGCTCAGCGTTGGGAGGAACGTGTCATTGCTGTGTCCGCTGCGGCTGGACTGCGATTTGCGGACTCGGTCTCCGCGTAGCTTGTGCCACCATGGCGTGTAGGATACGGCATCCTGGCGTCACAACATCAAATCAAATCAAATCAGGTTTGCGCTACGAGATGCTTGCTGTGACTGGCTTGAAGGGTGACTTGGTAGCACGTCTTATGAAAAGGCTACAACTTCATGAAGGAACAGATCATCGTGCTCTTCCAACTATCAAACAGATGAAGTTCGTCTTATACTTGTGGAGATCGCAGGACTTGTCGGGACGGGCAAGACTCAAGTGGTCAGATGTGAACAACCGTTCCCGTATATCCATGTTCATAGAAGCGTGGAAGCCGAAATGACGGACAATGTGGGATTTTCCCGAGATAATTAAATAATGTCTTGAAGACTACGCACAGACGACTCTTAGATGTACCATTTGACTGGAGGTCAATGGTAAGGAGGAGTGTGAATGCTGAGGGCTCTTGCATGTGTGCGAAGGCTTGTATGCTTCCGCAGCTGATGTCTGCCAAGATCGGCAGAAGCCTTGAGGTACAGTTTGCCACGATCGGCAGAAGCTCAGGAGATAGTTTGCCATAATCGGCAGAAGCTCATGAGATAGTTTGCCATGATCAACAGAAGCAACTGTCAGTGCCTTGTGTGTAAAAGCCTGTAGCTCCGCTTGCGAGAATTCATGGTTGTCCGTTGCTGCATCCCTGCCTAGACTCTTTGTCTTCATAATCCCATTATAGCACCCTGATAGATCCCTTTAAGGACCCCAAAGTAAGGTACCCCTAATTTTCGGAAACTCCCATAGAGGCATCGAGGCTTCTGGGTTGGGACTCTGGATCCGAAGTTGTAGGGTCTAGGCTTGGAAGGGACTCCGCAGGGGGTACTGTAGGCGCCTTAACCATTAGGGTAGGGTTTTGGGGCCCATTATACTATAAATACAATAAGGAACGCCCAAAATAGTATAGCTAATTATTAAGGACCCTGTATTAGGTAAATCTCAGCCTACCGTAATTGTCAAGGCTTCGGAGTTTAACGTTCTGGGTTCAAAATGGCTTTATCATAATTGACATCTCGTATAATGTATAATTTTGGTATTCCTTGATAAAAAGAGACATCTAGTTTTTGGCTTCATTTCTGCCCACTCGGCTCTGCGATAGCTGCGCGACGCAAGTAAGATGATTTGTTGGTCCACCTGCTCTGTTCAGCAGTGGCACCCCAAAGCGTGGTATTGAGAATTCAAGAGAGCAAACGTTTGGTGCTGGGAGACCAAGTGTCAAGGGATGTCATGGATCTTTGAGCGTTTTCTCGGTGTGGGCTTGAGAGATTACAGTGTTTGGTTTCCGGCTTTCATGGCTTTGAAACTTCTCGTCTTGGGCTTGAGGGTCGTGGTTTTATTGGTTCGGAGGCTGTGGGATGATGTAAGCTTCCGGTTTCAAGAGTTTGCGGCTCACGAACAATCAGCTTCCATGTCCACAAACACTTACGAACCAACCGAGCCCTGCGTGCCCACGAACCGACAACACGAACCAAGACCCAAACCCCTCGAACTCCAGATGCTGGAAGCTTTAACCTGAAAACCTGAAATCCCGTGCCTGCTCCTCGTCGGCCCTGCTTTCGTTTCGCAGTTGTGGGGTTTCTTCATGGTTTCATCATGTTCTCGTGCTGCTGTCGAGCTCTCAATGGCGTTTCGAGGCTATGGCTTACCGCAGCTGTCTTGTGCTTCAGGGCTTCTGGTCATGCTCTGGGTCTGGTTCACGGGTCGGTAGAAGATAGGACGGTGAGGAACTCCTAGTACCGAATAACCGATGATGCTCCATAGTCTGAAGTTCCTACCATCTCAAGTACCAATGTCATTTCACGATGTATCGAAGCCTTAGGGCGGGCGGGGTTGAATAACCCGAGCTTTCCAGAAGCCTAAACAAGAAAATAAACTACTATCAGGGACATGCATCATAGTTATGGTAGACGGAGGCCTAAAGCATGGTACAAGTATATGTTGGTATGTATTGGCAGTTGTCCATGCCCCTGGGTCCCTGTATGAAACTGTCAACCCGAACGTCTGTGACCGATTTTCACGAAATCGGAATTAGCCCACAAGGTCAGAGGTAGAGAGGGGCCTACTGAAATGGCAAACTTGGCTCCTCACCTATCCCGGCCATACCGGGCACTCCTCTCCAGGTATGCTACAGTTGTAATAAAGGCGACACCAAGCTTCAAAATGTCGCTTGCATCGATCGATATGGCCGCATTGTCTCACAATTGAAATCCAGAGCAAGACCACAGCCAACAAAAACAAACAACTAGCCAGGTCGTAAATCTCAAACCCAGCAGCATGAACTCTAGAGCCTAACTCGCAAATCACCTCCAAAAATTCTCAAAGCACCTACCCAAACCCGAAGCCCGAAAGCTGAAATGCTCGAGACATCTGGGATCTCCGGCGGCAAGGCCGTCGGAAGAGCAGGTGCTCCGGGAAGAGCGGCCTCAGATTGAGCTCTTCCGGCTTCAGCGCTGCAATATAGGGGCATTGATACTTAGAATGGCGGTCTCTTTAAAGGGATCCGTAGAAGGGTTCTATATATAAGGGCTACTATCTAGAAGGATTCTATAGTAGAGGATGTTTGTCTTGTGGGTAGCGTTGGGATAAATTCCTGTTTAACCTTGTGGTATCAACACTGCTCTCACGACTCTCATTAGACTGATTACCACATTGCTCTTTGTCACTACTACTACTGGCAGCACTAGCAAGAGCTGAGCAGTAGCTATGCCCCCCATTTCAGAAAGCCAAGCAAGTAAGGACAGCCTTGACATCGCGGGCTCCTCTGAGTTGCAGCCAAGGCGCGGTGGTGATCGGAGCAGCAGCCAAGGGAGGCGCCACGGTCGCGATCGGGGCTATGGCTGGTATTTCTGGAGGGGGCAGGGTAACGATGGGGGCGATGGTGGGCGGCGGTGGGATGGTGGGTGCTGTGTAGGGTGGCAGAGTCGCGATGAGCCCGGGGGTTGTAGTTGGTACCTCTCCGAACACCGCGGCTTCGATGTCGCCGATCTTGGCCTTTGCTTCGGCCTCGATGTTGGCGGCCAAGTCAGCTGCCGCAGCCCCGATGTCGAGGGCGGAGGTGGTGGTGGTCGTAGTGGTGGTGGTGGTGGTAGTGGTGGTGGGATGGCCTGGCGAAGGACATTTTCGGGGATTAGCATGCATATTAGCGCACACATAAAGCAGAGGAGCTTGAGAAGTAGGGGACACTCATAGAGGCCCTGACATGATAGTCATAGTCATTCTTATGACAAGGAGCCCTTGATGCTCCATGAGAAACTCTAGACATGTTCCTGGGGGAGGGGCAGTTCGTCGGGCTCCCTCCGTCTGTTATGGGCCCCCACCTCCACCTCTTTGGTTGTGTCTGATCTAAGTGAGAATGATTCACCAGGGTAGCGTTCCAAAGCCCTAAACGGTGTATGTGGCTCGGGGCTACTGGCTTTTCAGATGAGCGTCTTGCATGTAGACATTCTTGATTCTGCCTTAGGGCTCACCGCCCAAATAGTAATTTACACGTAGGCCCTGAAGTACCTAAACATGAACTACTGTGAGGCCTAAGTATAGACTTTTTGGGTACATGTGCCCTTAGGGCCTCAGTGTAAAGCCCCAAACGGGGTGGAGCACCGGCAACACTCTAAAGGTGGGCTCAAGGACACAAAAGGTGTAAGTGCTGAGGGTTCGACTGGTGGGAATCCCGCACTGCCCTGACTTACCCTTCATACCCCTGCATTGACATTCTATCTGCATGAAATGTCTCTCAGAGTCACTCGTCAATCTGTTTGTTGAGGGCGCCTTTATTCGCCTGAGGCCCTACACATCCTAGTCATCCGGAGCCTTTTTGCCTTCTTAAGGTTGTTGATTTCAACCACTTCTACGAACTTCATAGCCTGTGGAACTGTGATAGGTTAAGTTTATAGAGGGTGCTTGTCCGATTCCTTAAGCAGCGCGTATGCTCCAAGAACGGTGTGGCACGGGATCAGGTGCTCTACCGCCGTGCAGACGGAAGAGCACGCGGCCTCCTTTGATCCTGTCAGCTTTTGCTGGAGGCTCCAACCTCGAAGGCTTGATGCATATGAGCCACGAGCCCTCATGAGCCGCAAACCCGGCTTCCTCTCGAAGGCAGCAGCATGGGTTCCACAAAAAAATGAAGGTCGTGTGGGAAGTAGCCTTGCAGCCCCGGTGGGAGCGCCTGCCATGCTATGCCAACGGGTAATCTTGACCAAGCGCTGGCTCCGACCACGCCAGTATCCCGTGGCGGTGATACGTGGACCCCGCGACACACCACAGCTCTGGGTCAACGAAGCTCTGTCGCCTGGAATCCACCAGAGAAATGCAGGAGCTCGCTCCGCAATGAATGTAGAACCCATTAAGGGTTCCGCATCTTTCGAATTGATTCCGCTCTTGGGCGTTCGTCTCCTCCATGGAAGTGACGAGCGTCGTCGGCTTAGGGTTTGAGGCTTGGGGGTTAGGGCTCACTGGATGTCTTCAGGAATCCCACTGCTTCTCCTCTCTCCACTGGCCCCACTGAAGCTGGAAGAGTTGTGTTCCATAAAACTCCTATGTATAAGAAATCGAAAAGGCTTCGTGCGCGGACTCTTCTCAGCCGTACCTTTGGGGTACTGCAAGAACTTGAAAGTTTAGGGTTCATAGCACTTCGAATGTGGCTACTTATATCATCTGTTATAACGACAAAATCTCATCTCCGGCCCCGGCAATTCTTTCCGCCCTCTTTCCGTCTGCAGTCTTCAGGGTTTACCCACAGGTCCCATAATGTTAGTCTCCATTTTAATTCCTTATGTAGTTTTTTAATTCCTTATGTAGCTTACCTTGGTTTGTGGATACTTGTAGTATCCAAAAAAATAGAACTGGCTAACGGACAAAAGGAACAACAATGGAGGCTTTTGGTACGGCCCGATCCTCTGGAACAGTTCATTCACCGCAGCCGCCGTGAAACCCTTAAACCGTGAGCTCAGTTAGTTCAGTTCCACCAAGAATGATTGCAGGGATGTGC